GGGTATAGGGTTTAGGGCTTGAGGCTTAGAGGCTTGAAATGCTAGGGGGGTTTGAGGTGCTTGTTCGTGCTCGGTTACAGGCTGCTTGCCAATTTACACACAGATCCCTAAAAACTCTTTGAGCCAACGCCCCAAAAAATATGGGTGACGAGACGCCCGACAATCCGAAGCCTTATTAGCTTTACGTGATCTTGTTGCTTGTGCCCTAAACCCTAAACCCTAAACCCTAAACCCTAAACCCTAAACCCTAAACCCTACAGAGTCAGGGGTTCAATTGGGGTTCAGGCCTAAACCCTAACCCTACACCCGAAACCGCCGGCGCGGAGACGGTTCGGGAGAGAAAGCCGAAAACATTCCCCTCAGACCCTCAACCCAAAACCCAAAACCCCAACAATCTGGGTTTAGGGTCCTTAGCATGGGCGCGTATAGGGGACTTCCTTAGGTACAAACGCAAGGGGCCGACATAATTTCCCTTAGAAGAAAACGGAACCTCTGAACCCACGCAAGTTTAGGGTTTAGGGTTTAGGGTTTAGGGTTCAGGGGATTCCCTGCTGCGTCATCGTGCTTGCCAGCAGAGGCCAGGGAAAACATGGCAGGAAGCCACTAAGCCCCCTTAGGGCTCAGGGCTCTCAGCCCTACACGCGCCAAAGGTTGAGTTATCTACAAAGCATACCACAAATGATCTCACAGGCTGGATTCGCTCACGACCAGCCTTTAACAGCCTTTAACACCCTAAACAACCCCAAAACCCTGAACCCTAAAAACCCTGAAAACCCTGAACCCTAAACCCTTGCCCAGTAATCTGCGGGAAAAGAAAGGGGGGCCTGTTTTGGGTTTCGGATGGTCTCAAGCCCAAAAACAATCCGGTCCAGCCACAAGTGCATGATCTCAATGTTGTTTGGGTTGCGGCTTTGCAGGGTTTAGGGTTTAGGGTTTAGGGTTTCGGGCTTATGCTCAAAACAGTTTGAGGGTTGCGGGGGTTTGGAGGTTTTAGGTTCTTGTTGTTAGCTTCTTACCCCCCAAGGCAGGTTTGTGATTGGTTGAGGAGCACAAGTTTAGCAAGCAGTGTCTAGGCGGTCGAAGGTTTTGGGTTTAGGTTTAAGCCCTAAGAGTTTAAACCCTAAGAGTGTAGATGACCACAGATTAGGAGCAGAGGTTCCTAGCCCAGGCAAGAAGCCAGCGCTAGTTCGGGCGTTGCGCCCTCCCGTGCTCTTGACGTTCGCAAGTGGCTTCGGAAGGATAGCTGGTAACCCCAGGGTTCCTAAACCCCAGGGCCCCCCTAAACCATCAACTCAATACAGTCTAAACCCTAAACCCTAAACCCTAAACCCTAAACCCTAAACCCTAAACCCTAAACCCTAAACCCTAAACCCTAAACCCTTCTGAGCTTCGGGCCCCAAGTACTCCCCAATGCCCCAAAGGGCCCTAGACTGCTTGGCTCCCTTCAGGAGTATTTTGGTGGATTTAGGGTTTAGGGCTTGGGGCTTAGGCTTTGGGGTTTGGGGCTTGGGGCTTGGGGTTTGGGGTTTGGGGTTTGGGGTTCTAGGTTTAGGGTTTGGGGCTTGGGGTTTGGGGTTTGGGGCGAGGGGTTTGGGGTTTAGGGGTTTAGGGGGTTTGCGGCTGTAGGGTTTAGGGTTAAGGAATGATTTGAAGGGTGTTTAGGTTTCTGGGGTTTAGATTATTGAATGGGCTTAGGGTGTGGGTCTCTACGGTCTACTTCGTTGAGGGCTGAGTCTTCTGGGGTCTAGGGGTTTGGGGTTTAGGTTTAGGGTTTAGGGTTTAGGGTTTAGGCATTCTATGGTCTTGCTGGGTGTAGGGTTTCGCGTTCCGCGGCTTGTTGGGTTCAGGGTTCTGGGCTTGGGGTTTGTAAGGTTCGAGGGTTTACTGGGCTTGGTGGCTTAACCCTAAACCCTAAACCCTAAACCCTAAACCCTAAACCCTAAACCCTAAACCCTAAACCCTAAACCTTGGTTAGGGTTTAGGGTTCCGGGATTTCGGCTATGAGGAGAAGTATAAGTAGCCCGAGCACCCCTTGAGAGCCAGTTTGCAATTGCGATTCCTTCGGCTTCCTTCCAAAGCCAGGTTCTCCCCCAGCAGAGATCCAATCTCTCATGAAGATAAAACGCTGTACCCCAAGCGGGCGACAGCAGCAGAATCTAAGAAACGGGAATTCCGGAAACGCTACCTCGCTGGGTGGCCAAAAGCCTAGGACCTAGGAGCTGTAAGCGTTTAGGCCGAATCCCTGAAGCCGAAGCCTAAACCCTACCAAACCTGTAGGACACAAAAAAGGTCAACCCTTCACCGCATCCCTGTCAATGCTACAGACCCTACGCCCAACATTGGCACAACAAAACGCCATAAGCCAAAAGGGCTTAGGAGAATGTGACTGGCAGAGATCCACGCCCAGCAAGCCCCAAATCCTTAAAGCATGTCTAGTTAAGTCTAGCGTTCAGGGGTTTAGGGGCTTTAAAGGTTTCGGGTTTTAGGATGGGGGCTGCCACTTGTGACGATTTCACAATCACAAATGAGCCTGCATTTCTGGCCAGGGAGGGGTGGGGGGGGAGGGGTGGGGGGGGGGGGGGGGGGGGGGTTGACAACAGCGTGGTTCCGCTAAGTGCATAAAAAACTATATCCACTCATCATAAACGTGGTTTCCACGTGGAACATCACGACCAGGGAAGGGGAGGGGGGGGGGGGGGTCTAGGTTTAGTTTTTAGGGTTAGGGTTTAGGTTTATTAGGTTTAGGGTTTAGGGTTAGGGTTTTAGTGTTTAGGGTTTAGGGGTGGGGGGGGGGGGGGGGGGGGGGGGGTGGGGGCACCAATAACGTGTTTTCACGCATTGCATTACAACCATATCTGGCGGGTTTAGGGCTTGGGTTTTTTCAGGGTTGGGGGCTTAAGGTGTGCAATTAGGCTATTAGGTGGTAGGGTTTAGGGTGCGCAGCTTGGCTTCTGGCTTAGGGCTTAGGGTTTAGGGTTTAGGGTTTAGGGTGTTTAGGGTTTTTAGGGTTTTTAGGGTTTCAGGGTTAGGGCTTGGGGGCCTTTGGGCTTCAGGGTTAAGGGCCATTAGGCTTTCTAGGGCCCCAAGTTGTGCAGGTCAAGCACATGCCAACCAGCCAAAGAGGTTATACGCTTTCCGGCTGGTTCTTCGTAGGGAATGAAGGAGTGAGGTGCCTATATACTCCCATTTACGGGAAATGGTGTAATGCCCTAATTCCCTCATTCCCCACGAAGAACCGGGGGGTTTTAGAGACCTGGAGGGTTTTGGGCTGTGACCAAGGATCAAAAAAGTACAAGCAAGCATACCGGTTTTAGCGCCCTGTGCAGGGCTTTGGCCGCGAACAACGAAAACAGTCACAAGCGAGAACCCCCCCCCCCCACCAAAAGAAGAGAGTCACAAGCGAGCCAGAAAAAATAAGTCAAACCCTAAACCCTAAGCCCTAAACCCTAAACCCTTATGGGTTTGGGTCTGAGGAGCCCCAGAAGCCCTAGACGAGCCGTTAAACCCTAAACCCTAATCCCTGAACCCTAAACCCTAAACCCAAACCCAAGACCCTAGATCCTGAACCCTAAACCCTGAACCCTAAACCCTGAACCCTAAAACCCTAAACCCTGAACCCTAAACCCTAAGCCCTAAACCCTGAACCCTAAAACCCTAAAACCTAAACCCTTGCAGCGGGCGAGCGTCCGGGATTCGGCAAAGCAAAATGGGAGCTCGGGGTCGCATTGCGGCGGAATGAAGCTTAGGATTCAGGGTTTATAGGGTTTAGGGTTCAGGGTTTAGGGTCTATAGGGTTTAGGGTTTAGGGTTTCGTTTCGGGTATGTGAGGTGGGGATTATATGCCTTGTAGTTAACCCCCCAAAAGCACTCACGAATAACAGTACATGCAATATAAACCTTGTTTCATGTAGGGTTTAGAGCTTAAGAGTTTAGAGTTTAGATCTTAGAGGTTAGGAGTGTAGGAGTTTAGAGTTCTATAAGAGTTTAGAGTTTAAGAGTTTAAGAGTTTAAGAGTTTAGAATTTGGGTTTGAACATGTTTGAACTTCCGCTTGTTCTTGTAAGGGCTTGGGCTGTAGGGTTTGGAGCTCACGGCTTATAGGGTTCAGTCAGGGCTTAGGGTCCCTAAACCCAAAACCCAAAATCCAAAACCCTAAACCCTAAACCATACACAAAGAACACAAAACCCTAAACCCTGAGCCGCGTGCGAACCCGAGCGTGCCAGCGATTGTCCATGGCGGCGGATCTCGACACCGGCGCAAAGCTCCGATTAGTGGTTTGAGGGGGTTTAGGGTTTAGGGTTTAGGGCTTAGGGGTTTTAGGGCTTAGGGTTTAGGGCTTAGGGGTTTAGGGCTTGAGGGGGTTTAGCGGGATTCGGGTTGGGGGTTTAGGGTTTGAGGGGGTTTAGGGTTTAGGGTTTAGGGTTTAGGGTTTAGGGTTTAGGGTTTAGGGTTTAGGGTTTAGGGGTTCGCAAGTTGGGGGCCCAAGGGTCCTGAGATATTAAACCCTAAACCCTACCATTGGCGGGATCTATGCTGGTGGGCAGTTACAGGGTTTAGGGTTTGTAGGGTTTAGGGTTTAGGGTTTAGGGTTTAGGGTTTAGGGTTTAGGGTTTAGGGTTTAGGGTTTAGGGTTTAGGGTTTAGGGCTTAGGGCTTAGGGCTTATTAGGGCTTAGGGTCTAGGGTTGAGGGTTTAAAGGGCCAAGGGCTTAGGGGTTTGTGACAGCTAACTATGGCACGTCTTTCGATCTTCGGTGAGGTCTAGGGTTTAGAGTTTAGTGTTTTGGGGCTTTGCGGGTCTGCGCTGATGTAAAGCCCAGGACGCCGCCGAACAAAGAATCGTGGGCTTAGGGTTCCGGGTTTGGGGCTTATAGGGTTTAGGGTTTGGGGTTTTAGGGCTTACTGTAGGGTGCACGGGTTTCGGCGTTTCGGGTGTAGATTTCCGGACCCTGCCCTGGCCCATAATAGTTCAACCCTTTATGCTTGTAGGACTTCGGCTGCTTTAGCTCGCATACTGGGTTCTGCTTCAAGGGCTTGGGCTTCTTTTTTTGGGATTGGACTGAATATGGAATTTAAGGTTTAGGGTTTAGGGTTTGGGGTTTAGGGTTTAGGATTTAGGGTTTAGGGTTTAGGGTTTAGGGACAGAATGAGCCGAGATTCCGAGATCTGCAGCGCGTGCCTGAAGCTGCAGGAAGATCGAGACGCAGCGACGGAGACTGGAACGATAAAGATGCGGCTTTGTTTAGGCTTCTAGGGTGTATGTAGGGTCAGGGTTTAGGGTTTAGGGTTTAGGGTTTAGGGTTTAGGGTTTAGGGTTTAGGGTTTAGGGTTTAGGGTTTAGGGTTTAGGGTTTAGGGTTTAGGGTTTAGGGTTTAGGGTTTAGGGTTGTATCCTGCCATGGATATGTAGAATCATAGGCATGTAAACATGAATATACACATATGAGCAAACACTTTGAAACCGGTGTATATAGGCATGGATGTTTACATATTGTGATTACATTCTATATGCTATTTTCTCAAGAACCACCCAAAAAAGAAAATGACATAATCCCTAGATCGCCCTTACAAGGAAGAACATCGTTCATTTCTTCGGGGGGGGTGGTTAAGCAACCCTAAACCCTAAACCCTAAACCCTAAACCCTAAACCCTAAACCCTAAACCCTAAACCCTAAACCCTAAACCCTAAACCCTAAACCCTAACCCCTTCCTTATTCAGGCTTTTCGCTGAAGGTTTCCTGGGGCCTCCAGTCGTCCGAGGCACAGGCCAAGCACTGGCAAAGGCGTCCGGAATTGGTGCGGGGGGGGCATCCCTAGCAAAAAGTTGAGGGCTTGGGGTCTAGGGTTTCGGGTTTAGGGTTTGCATCCCTTGCAAAAACATGCTTGAAGCGCACACGCCGTACACCCGAAGCCCTATACCCTGAGCAGTAAACCCTAAACCCTAAACCCTAAACCCTAAACCCTAAACCCTAATGTTAGGGTCACCTTTATAAACCGGGTGTCAATAGTGGCAACTTTTCCGGCCGGGATTTTTGCGCAAAAGTTTGTTTCATGAACAGTTTCCATTATGTTAGGCTGCCCCGAACCCTAAACCCCATTTTGAGGGGGGTCGTAATCAAAAAACGGGTGGTAATAGTGGAAACTTTTCCGGGAGAATTTCCCAAATGTGCTTCCGAGAGTACTCCTCTTTTCACTCGAGGCCGAGACCACACAGCTGAGAGTGCTTCACTTCAGCAGAGGCAGTCCTAGAGAGTGCCTTAACTGGTTGAGGTAATAACGCTCGGCCTTGGGGCCGTCGCAAGAGAGGCAGCCAGAGACCCATCTGCAACGACTGCAGACGGAGCAGCCAAAGAGTCTAATTTGAGAAATCTTGTCCTGATGTTCCTTAGGAAGATCAGAGAGCTCAGGTTCCTTGCCTAGAGACAAAACCTTGGCAGCGAGTTTCGCTGCCTGAGAGGCTGCTTCTGCTGCGACAGAGGCCTTCTTGGCAAGCTCTTGAGAGACCTTGAGGTTCTTGAGTCGGCTCTTCTCCAGAGACTTCAAGCGAGAGGCCTGGGGCCAGAGAACACCCAAAGAAGCCCGAAATCCTAAAGACCTAAACCCGAATTAGGGCTTAGTTAGGGTTCATTAGGGGGGTTTGGGGCCTGCTGGCCTGCTCGTTCTGGAGCTTGTCTTGTTCGCCAGAGAGCTGCCCGAGCCATGTTCTGAGGAAGTTCATGAGATCCATGACGATCACAGAGCTCCAGCCCCTGCTCGCGGGGCCTTCCCCTCGCTTGAGAGCTACCACCTCGAAGATGTGGGTCAGGACATAGAAGCCACACTCGTCAGATTTCTGCCTCTGAGAGTCTTCACGTTGGGGCAAAGTCTTGCCGGGGAAGAGGAAGTCCAACAGAACCTGGGCATTCGCAGCGCAGCAAGGGTGCGGCTCCTCATCGTTCAGAGAGTCGTAGTACTTGATACGAACCTCATCAGACTCCTGGTCCAAGTGCAGCAGAGTCCAATGCTTTGGGCCATCACCCTGGCCCCAGACAGGCACGAAGAGCGTCTTGAAGAGCTCACCCTCGCGTTTCAAGGCGTTTTCCACGATAGAGACATCAAAGCACTCCTTCGTGATGTACTGGAGAGAAAGCTTGGGGTCCACGATGCGAATGCCTTGCTCAAAGAAGAAATTCTCAGAGCCCTGGCTGAAATGCCATCGGAGGAGCTCGAAACCATAGAGGATGTGTTGGTCCAGCAGCATCTGAGGCGGAGTCTTCAAGAGCTCAATCGGCTCCGGCCCGTAGACACTCTCCTCGAGAAAGAGCTGGGAGCCTCCGCAAGAGTGGAGGACCCTCTGCTTGAGTTCACGAGAGAGCCGCATGTGCTTCCAGGACAGAGGCTTCAGCCAAGAGGCCTCCTTCTCCACAACCAGAGAGTCAGGCAATGTCAAAGTCGCCATGCTGTCGCCCAGACACGGGAGAGTCACCGTGCCTTTGCTGAGGTTGTGGTGAGAGCAGGTCGCCTCCTTGCCACAGTGGACGCCGAGCTGCAAGACCCGACAGACCCGGCCCGCCAGAGGTCCTTTCTTGCAAAGAAAAAGGAACAGGAGAAATTAAGAATTAAGTCTTCACTTAGTAAGGTTTACAAAAAAGCCCGGGCGGGGGCGGGGGGGCTGTCCTTTCGTGACTTCTGCCAGAGTGGCCTCTTCAGCTTCGACGTCGGAGTTTTGGAGTGCCAGAGCCTCGGCAGCATTCATCGTGAGAGCCTTCATGAGAGCCTTGCCGTCAGCGGTCTTCTTGACCTTGAGCTTCTGGAGCTTCTTTTTCTTCTGAGAGATGGCTTCAGAGGCCTCGCCCGCACGAGGCACGAGCTTGCCTAGAGTCTGGCCTAGAGACTGCGTCTTCAGCTTGTCTCTCAAAGCCTTGCGAAGCTTGGCAGAGACTCGTTTCTTTGCCAGAGACTTCACCATCTTCGCGTACCTCCTAGAGGCTTTCTTGTCCTTCACAGAGACAGGTGTCGAGATAGAGCGGCGTTGAGCTGCAAGCTGCAGTTCGAGAGGAAGGCGCAAGAGCCCACTTTCGATGCATGGCAGCTGCAGCTCAGAGGGCAGTTCCGAGATGTCCATCAGAGCTTGGTCCTCCTCTGGCGCAGAGGCGGGATTGTGAAAGTCCCACTCGTAGAGGTCCGCCAGCTCTTTAGAGGCCGTGATGAGGCTGAAGTCTGGCTTCAGAGGAACAAGATTCTTGTCCACCCAGAGAAAGCGATCTCACAGCCAAGAGACATCGATCCGCTCAGAGCCTCTGCGAATCCAAAAGCAATGAAAGAGTTCAACCTCAAAATGTTTAATGAAAAGAGAAAGGGTTGATGAACCAACAAAAAAGGTCGAGAAGCCCATTTGGACACCTCCGACTTCCTCAGAGGAGAGGGGAACGAGTTTCTGCTCGGCGAGAGAAGCCTTGTAGGCGAGGATGCCGTTGCGGCGGAGTCCTGCCACCACCCAAGAGTTCTTCTCGTTCCTTTGCCGAAGAGTTGTCTGAGCAGAGACAATGGCCTTCACCATGTCGAGAGGCGAAGCCTGCCAGGGTTCACGAGAGCCCTGAGCAAGAAGAGCCTGCTGTCCCGAGCTCCTGAGAGACTCCATCTCGGCTCTGCAGAGAGCTTTGAACGACCGAGCATAGTCCGTGTCAGTTAACTGCAGAGAGGCAGTTAGCTTGGGTGCCAAGAGGCACTGCAGGTGGTTGCTCGCGTAGAGGGACTCTGTTGCAGAGGTCGTCCAGGCCCCCGCAAAGGCATCTCTCTGATGCAGAGCCACGACAGGGACCTTTGCGAGCTCTTCCTGACTCCATTTGAAGATGATAGAGTCGACATTGGCCGAGGGTTGAGACATCACAGAGACTTGCTCGAAGAGAAGAGGGTCCTTGTCGCGAGCCTGACGCCACGAGAGCAGGATCTTCCCGGCGTGCGACTTCGCAGAGCGGACCACCTGCTTGCCCTTCCAAGAGAAAGACTCCTCCACAATGAAGCGACCAGAGCTATCAATGTTGGAGAGCCTGGCGTGGACACCATGCACCACAATGAGTCCTGGAAGAACCGCGCCAGAGAGCTGGGCTTGAGGTTTGGAGGTGCAGAGGCCATAGAGAGCTTGGCGCGCCTCGTAGGTGATGCGGTATCTCGAGTGCTGGTCCTCCTTGAGAGCCCTCTTTTGCCCTTGGCCAGAGGAAGCTTTTGCCTTGGCAGAGGGCTTCGCAGCCTCGAAAGATGGCAAAGATTTGCCTCTTTGCTCCAGAGAGGCTTGGTGTGCAACCTCCAGATTGTGGCGGAGCTCTGCTTGAGAGCACGGCTGCCGTTCCCAAGAGGCAAAGAGCTCTCGCTCCTGTCCACTCTTCACCCACAGAGGTATCTGGTCGGAGAAAAGGCAGACCAGGTTCTCCACAGAGTCCCGGAACTTCTTGGGAGCGATGACCTTCTCAGAGAGCTCCTCGAGATCCGAGAAGGCAGCAACCCAGAGCATGCGGTCAAAGCTCTGGTACGTCAGAGCAGCTCGGACTCGCTCTTCTTCAGCTGAGAGCTTGGTTGTGAGGTCAGGCACGAGGAGAGAGCAGCCCAGCTTGTGGAGGAGCTGGCGGAGCCTGTTCTTGCCAGAGTCCTTGGAGACAGAGTCAAGAGCCGCCTGGCCTCGCTGTCTTAAGAGCTCGTACTTAGAGCGTTCCGCTGAGTCCAAGGCAGAGTCTGCTAGAGTTCGAAGGCGCAAGAGTTCTTCCTCCATGAGAACCTGCCACTTAGACAAGAGAACTCTTCTGGTCACAGTGTGACCATAGGCTCTCTGCTCCTCGAACCAGAGCTTCAGAGAGAGAGTCACTTGCGGGAAGAGCTCCTTCTTGCCACCACCAGGGCGGCGAAAGCCGCGAAAGCGCCGGTCAGAGGCGGTCTTTCGAGTGCCTTTGCTTGCAGAGTGCTTCTCCGGGTTCAAGCTGAGCCGTCGCTTTTTCACTAGAGCTTCGGTGCTGTCGTGGTCTGCCCAGAGCTTCTGCACGGTTTTTCTTGCGAGGCCCAGCTTCTTGGACATGGCAGCCACAAAGTCCCTGTCAGAGGCAAAAGCAGGCCTCTCTGCCAGCATCTGACGAGAGATGCGGACCCTGACAGCCAAAGGTCGCTCACGTCGGCGAACGCGCTTTTGAGAGCCGACGTTCCGAGGTCGGCCACCACTCAAGCGGCGCTTCTTGCTTTCTGCAGCACTTCGCATGCGAGCAAGAGCCTCTTCAGACTGTGCAGAGAGTTCCGGCTGCAACTGTCGACGAGCTTCCTCAGCAGCAGCCTCGACGAGCAACTGTCGCATGGTATGCGAGAGTGGTCTATGAGGCGGGTTTGTCCGGGGTGGTAGAGCTGGCTCCAAAGCTGCTGGGTGCTGGGGCGCGAAGAACCTCAACAGAGTCGGCTGGAGTCCTGTCAGAAGCAAATTAGCATTGAAATTCAAGAGTTGGTTTGGCCTAATGGTTAAGGCGTCAACCTCATAATCCCAAAGGTCGCCGGTTCGAACCCCACCCCCTGCATCTTGCCCGGTTCGAACCCCACCCCCTGCACTAGCTTCATTTTGCCGATCTCTTGAACCGGCTCCAGGCTCAGAAATCCTGATCTTCGTGGCTGACCGAAAAGCATCGATTTCTTCTTAAAATCCTTCTAAAAAACAGCTCCCGAACATAGTAGTAGTACTGGTAGTAGTAGTAGTAGCAGTAGTAGTAGTAGTAGTAGTAGTAGTAGTAGTAGTAGTAGTAGTAGTAGTAGTAGTAGTAGTAGTAGTAGTAGTAGTAGTAGTAGTAGTAGTAGTAGTAGTAGTAATGGTAGTAGTAGTAGTAGTCGTCGTCGTAGTAGTAGCAATAGTAGCAGTAGCAGTAGAAGTAGTAGTACTAGTAGTACTAGTAGCAGTAGTAGTAGTAATAGCAGCAGTAGTAGTAGTAGTAGTAGTAGTAGTAGTAGTAGTAGTAGTAGTAGTAGTAGTTGAAAAAGTAGTAGAAGTAATTCGTAGTAGAAGTAGTAGTAGTAGTAGTAGTAGTAGTAGTAGTAGTAGTAGTAGTAGTAGTAGTAGTAGTAGGAGTAGTAGTAGTAGAAGAAGAAGTAGTAGTAGCAGGAGGTAGTAGTGGTCGTAGTAGCAATAGTAGTAGAAGAAGCAGTACTAGCAGTTGGCTGCGGGGAGATTGAAAACAAAAAGCTGGGGTTGACGCTCGAGGCCGTGCCGGTTGGCTTGTTGGAGGCGTCTGGCTGTTGCCTGCAGCAGGACAGAAGCTGCACCACTAGACTAAATCGACCCTGAGTGGCAAGGCCCATTGCTCTGCAGGGTTGATTTTGTCTAGTGGCACTTGTCTCGCCCCCCTGCAGGTCGGATGCACCTTCAGGCGAAGCAGCCGTGCAAGTCCTGAAGGCGTTCTTTTTTTGTTGTTGTGAGCAGTAGTAGCAGGAGCAACTAGCCCGAGAACAGAAGCAGTGAGTAGCAGCAGCAGCAGCAGAAGCACTAGCAGGACTAGCCGAAGCAGTAGCAGGAGCAGTGGCAGGTAGCAGTACCAGATCGCTGCAGGCATGATACAGCATGCTTGATTACAAATGTTCTACCAGCAGTTTCTTACTTTGAAGCTGTCTGTCAACAAACTGGCTTCGGGCTGAGCAGGTCGGCTTCAACGGAAAGGGCGGGCACGATTCAACAGCCCTGCCATTGAAGAAAGAGTGTCTGCAACCCTTATCGATGACTTGCTGCCGGAGGAGTTCGTGCACTTGGCAGAAACACTTGCCACATATGGCCAGTTGGGCCTAATACGAGCAAGAGATGGATCGTGACGAGCAAGCTGACTGCATGAGTTGTAAAACCCTAATTAAGTAAAGCCCTAAACCCTAACGAAACAGTCAGTAGCAGTAGTAGTAGCAGTAGCAGTAGCAGGAGCAGTCAGTCGCAGTCGCAGCACGCAGTGGCAGTAGCAGTAGCAGTAGCAGTAGCAGTAGCAGTAGCAGTAGCAGTAGCAGTAGTAGTAGTAGTAGTAGTAGTAGTAGTAGTAGTAGTAGTAGTAGTAGTAGTAGTAGTAGTAGTAGTAGTAGTAGTAGTAGTAGTAGTAGTAGTAGTAGTAGTAGTAGTAGTAGTGTAGTAGTAGTAGTAGTAGTAGTAGTAGTAGTAGTAGTAGTAGTAGTAGTAGTAGTAGTAGTAGTAGTAGTAGTAGTAGTAGTAGTAGTAGTAGTAGTAGTAGTAGTAGTAGTAGTAGTAGTAGTAAGAAAAATGAGTTTAAAAAACAACAACAGAAGCTCCTAAAAGCACACTGGGAGCAGGCTACTCCCCACGAGGCCTCGAAATCGTAATAATAAAGGCTGACAGTAATAAAGTCCGGCGAACGGGGCGATGCCGGTCTGGGACTCTCTTCCATCAGCAAGCCTCTTTGGCTACTTACTGACAGCAGTCCAGACCGAGCCCAATGTGGGGCAGCCCAGCTTCATTTTGCCGATCTCTTGAACCGGCTCCAGGCTCAGAAATCCTGATCTTCGTGGCTGACCGAAAAGCATCGATTTCTTCTTGAAATCCTTCTAAAAAACAGCTCCCGAACAAATCCGCCAAGGCTACCCCCCACGAGGCCTCGAAATCGTAATAATAAAGGGTGACATTAATAAAGTCCGGCGAACGGGGCGATGCCGGTCTGGGACTCTCTTCCATCAGCAAGCCTCTTTGGCTACTTACTGACAGCAATCCAGACCGAGCCCAATGTGGGGCAGCCCAGCTTCATTTTGCCGATCTCTTGAACCGGCTCCAGGCTCAGAAATCCTGGTCTTCGTGGCTGACCGAAAAGCATCGATTTCTTCTTAAAATCCTTCTAAAAAACAGCTCCCGAACAAATCCGCCAAGGCTACTCCCCACGAGGCCTCGAAATCGTAATAATAAAGGGTGACATTAATAAAGTCCGGCGAACGGGGCGATGCCGGTCTGGGACTCTCTTCCATCAGCAAGCCTCTTTGGCTACTTACTGACAGCAATCCAGACCGAGCCCAATGTGGGGCAGCCCAGCTTCATTTTGCCGATCTCTTGAACCGGCTCCAGGCTCAGAAATCCTGATCTTCGTGGCTGACCGAAAAGCATCGATTTCTTCTTAAAATCCTTCTACAAAACAGCTCCCGAACAAATCCGCCAAGGCTACTCCCCACGAGGCCTCGAAATCGTAATAATAAAGGGTGACATTAATAAAGTCCGGCGAACGGGGCGATGCCGGTCTGGGACTCTCTTCCATCAGCAAGCCTCTTTGGCTACTTACTGACAGCAATCCAGACCGAGCCCAATGTGGGGCAGCCCAGCTTCATTTTGCCGATCTCTTGAACCGGCTCCAGGCTCAGGCGATGCCGGTCTGGGACTCTCTTCCATCAGCAATCCTCTTTGGCTACTTACTGACAGCAATCCAGACCGAGCCCAATGTGGGATGCACCGGGGAGCAAGAAGCTGATCGTGGAGGTCATGATCGCTCCGGGCTTTGAACCCAGGACCATCAGCTTTGAAGGGCGTGAGTTTAACCATGAACTCCACGATCAGCTTTCAGCCCGACCCCCCCAGACCCAGACCCCCCTCAGACCCAGACCCCCCCACTAATTACTACTACTACTACTACTACTACTACTACTACTACTACTACTACTACTACTACTACTACTACTACTACTACTACTACTACTACTACTACTACTACTACTACTACTACTACTACTACTACTACTACTACTACTACTACTACTACTACTACAGCAATTGTAATAGTCGTCGTAGTTGTTGCTGAATCCAAATAAAAGAAGTGGAAAGAAAAAGACCTGGCAAGACTGATATTTGTGCAAAACATAGCAACAAGATTTGGTCCTGGAGCTTTACTCGGAGAGCTTGAAGAGCTGGCTGCCACCACTGCTGCCCCAAGACCACAAGAAGAGCTCACAGAAGCGGGTGAGCTTCATGGGAGGGCTGGTCCTCATCAGAGGAGTGACCGACAGCTGCCATCAGGCAGCCCAAAAGGAAAAACACGAGCTGGAGGATCTCATCAATCAGAGCCCAAAAAGCGAGCAGTTTGCCCACCCATGAAATGTTGGGGGGGGGATTCGAGCTGTGTACCAACCGGTCTTCAGAGATGCCGCCTCAGCCACTAGGCTACAAATGTTGTTAGATCACAGCTTCCGAGATCCTTTTTGCCTTGTTTGCAGAGAAACAGCCAGACTCAGCACGTGGCAGTTTCTGCTCAGAGATGCTGGCCCACGAGTCGCAGCTTACGAATCCGAGCTCTTCTTGTCAGAGCCCTCCGAGCTCTTTTTCACACAGCACTCAGAGCTCCTCTTCTGCGTGGCCCCACCACCCAAGATCAAGGTTGTAGAGGTGGAAGCAGAGCAAACGGAGGCACCGTCCAACTCAGAGACCGCTTCACTCTCAGCGTGGTCCAAAGACTGCGCTTTGAAAGAGGGTTTCTTGTGCAACAGAGCTTTCGCAAATGGAGCCTTCCGAGCGGGCACTTTCGTAGAAGAAGAAGAACACGAAGAGGCGGGTCGAGACTTCTTCATTGCAGAGGCGGGCTTCTTCATGGCTCTGCGATTTCGTTGAGGCGTGCCGAAAGCCTACGACTGCTGAGCATCAAAAGCTTCGAGCAGAGTTGCAGAGCTCACAAGGCTTCCAAAAGCTTCGAGCACATGACTGCGAAAAGCACTTCTCAGAGGTTGTAGTAGTAGTAGTAGTAGTAGTAGTAGTAGTAGTAGTAGTAGTAGTAGTAGTAGTAGTAGTAGTAGTAGTAGTAGTAGTAGTAGTAGTAGTAGAAGTTGTTGTTGTTGTAGTAGTAGTTGTAGTAGAGTAGTAGTAGTAGTAGTAGTAGTAGTAGTAGTAGTAGTAGTAGTAGTAGTAGTAGTAGTAGTAGTATTAGTAGTAGTAGTAGTAGTAGTAGTAGTAGTAGTAGTAGTAGTAGTAGTAGTAGTAGTAGTAGTAGTAGTAGTAGTAATAGGGAGTAGTAGTAGTCGTACTCCCAGTAATTAATTTACTAGCAGTGCAGAGGAATGGCCAGGCACAAGAGTGCAAGAGAGCACTCGACACCGAAGATATTCTTTTTGGGCTCAGAGCTTGGCAAGTCGGAGAGTTGGCCTTCTCATGCATCGAGAATTGCGTTCACAGCAGAGAGTGCCCTGTCGGCATCTCTGAGCCAAGCTTGTTGAGCTGGGCTCAGAGCGTGCCCGATAGGGATGAAAAGAGCTGGTGCATGGAGCCTCACTTCCTCAAGGAGCTCAGAACTGGAAGAGCCATCAGAATGAGACCCCTCCTGCGCAGAGTGGGTCGTGCCCTGTTGCTCAGAGTCGGTC